TTGAAGTTTCAGTCCTTTGAATATTGAAATTATTATCTACATTACAACATCAGTGCTATCAAATCAAGTTTCGGGCTGTATATATTTTATTAAAATAATTTTTAAGTGTTTTTTTCTCTTGATTACACTCCACTTGCTTTGTGCTTCCAAGCCTGCTTCATTCATTTTATATTTTTCAATTGAATTAAAATTATTTAAATTCAAAATTGATTGATAAAATACTAAAACAGAAAAATTGAATATCGTGTGAGTGAGAATTATTGTTTGTCAAGTTTTACGTTTACAGAGACGTATACGTTTTCAGTAAGAAATCTGTCATCAAATCTACATTTCCGATTGCAATTCGTAAATTATAGTTAATACAGATGGAACGTGCTTGGTTAAGTGCCATTGAATATATTTTTATTTAAAAATGGGAAAAAGCGTATTTAACTACATATTTTGATACATTTTAGTTCAACACTATTCAATTCGTTTGTTTTGTGAATTTTATTTTAATTAATTATTGCAATAAATTCAAGAATAAATTCTTACTAAAGTATATACGTGTACAGTGCTAATTCTGCTATTTATTGCTAATTTCTCTATTTTCTTCATGTAAATTTCCCTATTTTTTTGCTAATGTGCTAATTCTAATTCGCATGGATATCCCCTAGTATTTGGTACACTACGGTTAACCTTATCAGACATTAACTTGTTAACAATATACGACGTTAGTTGTGATTGTACTTCTGAGAGATTCGGGCGTATAGCATTAAAGAAACTTGAAAAGATGAAGCGTCTTTTGTTTGTACTTTTAATCTGTATTTCCTTGGAACATGTTAGTTTACAAGAACAAAAACAACAACAGGAAATCCAAAATCTACAAGAACAAGTAAGGTTTCTATTCAAATACTTGGGTCTTGTTTTTACAAAAGAAGAATCAAAAATGGATTTGAGAGCCGGTTTGAAAAAGGTTTTATTATGATAAACTTAAAAAATATATTGACAATCTCGAACTGTGATTATAATAATATTTTCGATTTTTCCTGTAAACTAGATGTTTTTCGAGTCACTCTCTGAATATGAAAAACAAACGCTACCATGTTTCAAAGAGAGTTTTTTATCACTAAGAGGGCAAAATGATACGAAAGTGTTAGATGTATCGGACGTACCAAAAGGCCGCGAGGAGTTGAGAACGCGATACAAAAATATAAGTTCACAAGTAATTGACGACACGATAGAATGTTTTATGAAAATTAATGATTTGGCTGTCCGTAACAATCTTGTAAGTTATTTTATGAAGAAAATTAGAACAATTTACTTACTTCATGTTCATGGTCCAATGTTCATCATTTCAGATGATTGACCGATTGAAAATGTTGGGAGCTACTAGTTTTGTTTTGAACGCAACATACGTGGAAAAAAAACAAAAAGATTTTGCGAATAAAATGGGTCAAGAAAACTATGAATTCCTTCGTGAAGATTATAACGAATGCCTGGAGCTACTTGAAACGGATCTATCCAAAAAACTGACACCAGATATTGTTTCTCGTATTATGAGTTTTCATCGTATGATATATGGAAACCGAAGAGAAATTGAAACTGCTTTGGTAAGAGTTTATTCGACCAAAAAGCCTTTATCGTGTAGGTAACTCAAACGTAACCTTTTTTTAATTACCAGAAATATCTGTATGGCCCTTAACTCATCAACGGCTGCAACGAAAACTTCTGTAAATGTTAAAACAATTAAAATATGTTATAATGAAAAGAGTTGAAAAGAAAATAATAATAAATTGAAGTGGTACAGTAATAAAAAATGAAATTGCGCTTTCATTGTATGTTTCACAATTTCAAATTCAAAAGTAAAATTGAATATAAAAAAATAGATACAATTGTAAAGTGATCTGCAAAAGTGATGGTAATTTTTACTGACACGATTTCGGATATTTTTACTAAAATCATATAGTAAAAATAACGGAAATACGCTATCCGTTAAAATTACTATACATTATATTTAAGTTATTTTTGCCCAACATTTTCAGTTATTTCCCCTAAGATGAGTATCTTCCCAAATCGATCAAAATAAAATGAAAAATAAGTTTGAATATTTATCCATTTATGGTTGCAATGTGTTCTAGGGATCTCCCTCTACAAGATAGACCCATTTGTAGGTCGATCAAAATGCAAGGAGGGAGAGGAGGGGTCATGAACAATAATTTTTTTCTTCTTCATTTTTTTCAAAATTGCGATATGAAAATAATTTTTTTTTCTTCTATCATATTGCTAGAGTCCATCCCTACAAAATAAAATAGTTTTTAGAAAAATTCATTTTGATTTGAGCCGGCCCGAGGTCGGTTTGTTGGCCGACATGTCGATTTTTGACCCTATTTTTCATATTTTTGAAATTTTTGTATGAAAGTATGACCGACTACCCCTATTTTTCTTGCTTTTATCGTGTTCTACGCAAAATTTACCATAAGAAAGTCCAGTTTAAACATCCCAATTTTTTTTTTCGACGACATGATTTTTTTCGATGACGGCCCATCGGTTGGTCGTCGGATCGATTTTTTCACACATGGCCCGATATTCTGCGATTTTTTCAGTTTCTTTCATCTTTTTTGCTTGCTTCGTGTTGCTCGAATCTTTCTCTACAAAAACCAATAGCTTTTGGATAATTTCATTCTGATTTTGGTCGGCCTGGGGTCGATTCATTGGCCGCCAAGCCGTTTTTCCCCTTTTTGTACGTCATTTTGCAATTTTTTAAAAAATTATATCAACTATTCGTGGTTTTCTTGCTTTTATCATATTGCTAGAGTTCATCTCTACAAAATAAAATAGTTTTTAGAAAAATTAATTTTGATTTGAGCCGGCCCGAGGTCGATTTGAATCGTTGCGGCGAAACAGTAGCTCTTATTTTTCTCCAAATAATACTGCAACATGAAGTTTTTTTTCACACGGTTTATTTGTTGTAATACAACAAATAAACTATTCATAAAAAACTTTATGTTGCAGTATTATTTGGAGAAAAATAAGAGCTACTCTTTCGCCGCAACGATTCATTTGTTGGCCATCATGTCGATTTTTGACCCTATTTTTTCATACTCGTATTTTTGAAATTTTTGTATGAAAGTATGAGCCAAAATGAAATTATCCAAAACCTATTCCTGCTTGAAAAGAAAGACTCAAGGAAAACAAATGAGTAAAAAAACACATCATCCATTCGAGTTTAGTTTTAAGATATCAGGCGAAATGTGAAAAAATCCACTCAGAAGCCCACCGATGAGCCTCTGGCCCAAAGCACGACGATAATGACAGCTCGGCAACGCTCTATTAGAGATTAATACCGCTGGCAACCGCAGAACTATATAGAATCATATGGAGTCATTTGGTGGCGCTGGCAAGCAATTTTGCGTTAACGTCATGCTTTGCTCTGGCCGTCTAAAAAACTTTTTTTGGATGTTTAAACTGGCCTTTCTTATGGTAAATTTTGCGTAGAACACGATAAAAGCAAGAAAAATAGGGGTAGTCGGTCATACTTTCATACAAAAATATGAAAAATAGGGTCAAAAATCGACATGATGGCCAACAAACCGACCTCGGGCCGGCTCAAATCAAAATGAATTTTTCTAAAAACTATTTTATTTTGTAGGGATGGACTCTAGCAATATGATAGAAGAAAAAAAAAATATTTTCATATCGCAATTTTGAAAAAAATGAAGAAGAAAAAAATTATTGTTCATGACCCCTCCTCTCCCTCCTTGCATTTTGATCGACCTACAAATGGGTCTATCTTGTAGAAGGAGATCCCTAGAACACATTGCAACCATAAATGGATAAATATTCAAACTTATTTTTCATTTTATTTTGATCGATTTGGGAAGATACTCATTTTTAGGGGAAATCGACCCCCCTTTCCATTTTTAATCCTATTCCACGGGATTCTATTCTATTTTTTTCTAATCCTATTCCACGGGTATTCTCAGTGTCTCCACTCATTTGTATGTCTTTCAATCTTGAGTCGTAGTACGTGGAATTGGCTTAGAAATTTGGAACAACATCAAAACTTACGTTGAATAAAAGCAATAAAAAAAAAATTGTTCACGGATACGGATAAATACTTAGTTACACAAATGTTGTTTTTCAAAACACTTGTTTCAACCCAATTATAAAATGTTCGAATTTTGAGCACTCTCCATTTTTTCCGAAGCCAAAATAAATAAAAACAAAAATGAGTGCTTAAAATTCGAACATTTAGCAATTGTGTTGTAACAAGTGTTTGAAAAAACAACATTTGCGTGATTAAAAAAATTGGAATAATGGTTTTCGGTTGAAAATTTCATAGCAACAGAGAGCTCTTTCGAACATATTACATTGATGAGCCCAAATCTACTCCGTTCTCGCTCTTAAATTATTCATAGTCTCCAATAGGAAAATATCGATTGAATACGTAGGAGAAGCGATATAGATATTAGATAATTCTTGCAAAAATTAGAAACATATTTTGAAATTGGTAAAGCAATTGGATCATTTGATCCATTTATTTTTCTTAGTAAACATCATATTTTGTGACAGTAAATAAAGATCCAGAATGGAATATATTTGAAATATTCTATATTAATCAAGGGGGGTTGACGTATATGAGATTGGAGACTTTTTTTTGCGAATCTCGCTAATGAGCGCCATCTGATTTTAGTGTGAATTAGATGCAAAAATCAAATTTATTTCAATAATTTGGAATGTATTTGAATGTTATAGTTTCAACACAAAAATTGTATTAAAAATCATTCAAGTAAATCAAATTGAAATTAAATCAATTAAAAATCATTGTACACACACATAAAGCATATAAAATAATACAACTAAATTATAAATACTCACACCATTCTATGGGAACCTAACAAAATCGTATTATTTCAAATTAGAATTATTTTTATTTCATATAAATGATTCTATTTATTTTTTCAAATTCATTCTATTAGAATTATAAATAAATAAATTTCTATTTATTACAGAAAATAATGATTCATTATTAATGAAACAGAAAAAATTCTCCACAATGTGAAAATACGAAGTTACGTATATATTATGACAGCTGTGGTTACGTATACGTCGACATTAATAATCTGTCAAAACCGTAAACACATTATTTTCTAGTTGCTTAGAAAAACGCATCTTTACGTAACATATTAATTTATTGTTTATTATTTCATTCTATAGAAGACATGCCGCGATCATATCGCTTAATGTGCGACAGTCGCCTGGATTCTTATATTTTGCGAAAAGATTGTGAATCATTTGAAAACGTTTTTTCTCTCATTGAAGGCGACTACATGCCGGCCAATTATGTTCATCGTACAAAGCAACGCACCGTGTTGGGAATTGCTGCGGAAAATGGTTCACTGAATATGATGTTAAAGCTTTTGGCTTTTGGTGAAAGTGCGACCTTTAAAGATCCATTTGGTAAAAGCGCAATTGATTATGCGAAAGAAAATAAACAAGAGGAATGTTGTGAGGGTTGTGAGCTCTTAATGTGTTATGAACGTGTGACATCCACCACAACATGGAAAAATTACGTGGAAATTGGAAGAGCGTATCGATCAACACAAGGCACACAAAATATTATTGATCACAACTTACTTTTTCATGTCATTGATCATATCCATGAAAATACGTCAAAAAATGGCGCTATTCTTGTATTTTTGCCCAGCTACGACGATATATGCGAACAACATGAAAAGTTAGTAAGCGTACATGGATTACAGGATTGGGGTTATAAGATTTTTGCGCTGCATAGCGAACTAAATGATGAAAACAATGAGGGTCATGCTCATGTCTTTGATCGCATGGAAAATGGCGTTCGAAAAATAATATTATCTACAAATATTGCAGAAACAGCACTTACAATAGATGATGTCGTCTACGTTGCAAGCGAAAATATTACAAATTTGGGTAAACACGGTAAACATTTGGTAAACATGCCAATCGATTGTCAATTGAGTAAGACACTCTTCTACGCAATTATTTTGCGATGTTTGGATCCCATTGTTATGATTTCCAGTGCACTGTCGGTGAAAGATTTATTCGTACTTTCATTTGAAAATACACAGGAAGTGACTGAAAAAATCAATGAAACAAAAAATCGATTCGCAGAAAATAAATATAGCGACCATCAACTGTATTTCAATATAATTCAAAATTGGTCGAAACAATTACGGGAACATCAACGAAAATTTTGTGTCGAGAATTACATTTCACAAGGTAACATGTTAAAAGCCGAAGGCATTCGA